TAATGGGCCATAAAGACTAAATCCATAACAAGATTGAACCCAATTATTACTATTTTTTATTTATAAACTCTAAATCGATTAAACATCAAAATTGTTGATTTTCGAAAATTAACTCAATCATAACTCAAAAACTAAAAGCGATGGAGAAAAACTTTTTACACCTAAAACCTCAGTTATGGGCCATAAAGACTAGATCCATAACACGATTGTACCCAATTATTACTATTTTGTATTTATAAGCTCTAAGTCGATTAAACATCAAAATTGTTGATTTTAGAAAATTAACTCAATCATAACTTATAAGATAAAAGCGATAGAGAAATATTTTTTTTGTTAAAAAGTATCGCAGAATCAAAATAAAATACAGTTAAGTATAAATTGTTAAATTATGAGACCTAAAAACAAACTAATTAATTAATTATAACTCTACTAATTAATTAATTAGTTTGTTTTTGAGTGTCATAACTCATAACAATTTACACCTAATTTTATTTTATCTTGATTCTACGACACTTTTTAACGTTCATTGTGATTATTTTTGTTTTTTTAGTTAATTATATTATATAAGCTAGAGAGTTGACGTATACTTATCATTAATTAAAGGGAACTTTATGAACAATTCAACTAGCACACAATATACAGGTGTTACATTTAAAAAATTTAAGAAAAAGCCATTTGAAAAACATCGAAATTAACTAAGCTTTATGAATATGCTGTATAGCGGTTCTAATATCTTTGGATACTATCATCTACTTGTATCATCTACTTGATGACTTGTATTCATGGTATAATAAAATATTATTATACAGGATGTTCTATTTAAACAAATTTACGTACTCTCCGTTACGCTTAAATGGAACACTCTGTATAAGTGAAAATAATTTTATGTAATAGAAAGTGATGGGTCAAACAACTTTTGTATAGAATATTTTTTTATACAATCGGTCGCCAGGATACTAATAGCTTACCTTGTACATATAAAATCTCTTGTTGCAGTTTCATTTAGTTTTCTTCTCTTCACTTGTGATTCATCATCACATTTATTACTAACAGAACTGTCGGTCTTATCACTTTCGATTATTAATTAATGTATCCTCTTTTTAATGCAAAAAGCCGTTTTGAAAAATCACTTTTAGTTCTTGAGAAATAAATTTTTGAAATATCGAGAATTTTTTCGAATTTTGTAGTTTTCACCGATTAAGTTTTAAAAATTCATATAAAATCGATTTCTTGGAATATGACTATAAAAATTACCCAAAGTGTTAATAAAAGTGTCCTCTTTCCAATGAACTAACCCGTTTTGAAAAAGAACTTTTAGTTTTTGAGAAAACATTTGAAATTTTAATAAAATTTTCGATATTACATAACTTTCAAAATTCGCTATAAAATTAATTTCTTGAAGGATCCTTGTATCACCAATTATTAATTAAAGTATCCTCTTTTTAATGCAAAAAGCCGTTTTGAAAAATCACTTTTAGTTTTTGAGAAATAAATTTTTGAAATTTGTTTCGAATTTTGCAATTTTCACCGATTAAGTTTTAAAAATTCGTATAAAATCATTGAGAAATAAATTTTTGAAATAATCGAAAATTTTTTCGAATTTTACAATTTTTGCCGATTTTTAAAAAAACTTTTACAATCACTTTTAAAAAGTCATAAAAAATCGAATTCTTAAGATATCTTGATGAAACATTTTGGTGATTTATAGAGGAAGGTGTCTCCTTTTTCATAGAAAAACCCGTACTTTCAAATCTCAATTCGTTTTTGAGATAATAAGTTTTGAACCCAACCCAAATTTTAATCGCTTTATGATATTGACAACTTTTTACTATTATTTTTAAAAAACCCTGAAAAATCGAATTCTGAAGATATCTTGACGAAACGTTGCTGATTTATAGAGGGAGGTGTCTCCTTTTTCATAGAAAAAACGGTATTTGGAAATCTCAATTCGTTTTTGAGATAATACTTTTTAAATGCAAATAACATTTTCGATGTTAAAATTTTCGTCGATAATTTTGAAAATTCGCTATAAAACTAATTTCTTGAGGGATCCTTGTGGAAATATCACCAATTATTAATTAAAGTATCCTCTTTTTAATGCAAAAAGCCGTTTTAAAAAATCACTCTTGAAAAATAAATTTTTGAAATATGTTTCGAATTTTGCAATTTTCGCCGATTAAGTTTTAAAAATTCATATAAAATCCATTTCTTGGAATATGAGTACGAAAATTTCCCAAAATGTTAATAAAGGTGTCCTCTTTCCAATGAACAAACCCGTTTTGAAAAATAACTTTTAGTTTTTGAGAAAACAAAATTTGAAGTTTTAATAAAATTTTCGATATTGCATAATTTTCAAAATTCGGTATAAAATTAATTTCTTGAAAGATCCTTGTGGAAATATCACCAATTATTAATTAAAGTATCTTCTTTTTAATGCAAAAAGCCGTTTTGAAAAATAACTTTTAGTTTTTGAGAAAAAAATTTTTGAAATGATCTACAATTTTTTCGAATTTTGCAATTTTCGCCGATTAAGTTTTAAAAATTCGTATAAAATCGATTCCTTGGAATATGACTATAAAAATCACCCAAAGTGTTAATAAAGGTGTCCTCTTTCTAATGAACCAACCCGTTTTGAAAAATAACTTTTAGTTTTTGAGAAAACAAAATTTGAAGTTTTGATAAAATTTTCGATATTCTATAACTTTCAAAATGTTGCAATTTTCATCGATAACTTGCAAAATTCGCTGTAAAATTAATTTCTTGAAGGATCCTTGTGGAAATATCACCAATTATTAATTAAAGTATCCTCTTTCCAATGAACCAACCCGTTTTGAAAAATAACTTTTAGTTTTTGAAAAAACAAAATTTGAAGTTTTAATAAAATTTTCCATATTGTATAACTTTCAAAATTCGTTATAAAATTAATTTCTTGAAGGATCCTTGTGGAAATATCACCAATTATTAATTAAAGTATCCTGTTTTTAATGCAAAAAGCCGTTTTGAAAAATAACTTTTAGTTTTTGAGAAATAAATTTTTGAAATATCGACAAGTTTTTCGAATTATGCAATTTTCGCCGATTAAGTTTTAAAAATTCGTATAAAATCCATTTCTTGGAATATGAGTATGGAAATTTCCCAAAGTATTAATAAAAGCGTCCTCTTTCCAATGAACCAACCCGTTTTGAAAAATAACTTTTAATTTTTGAGAAAACAATGTTTGAAGTTTTGATAAAATTTTCGATATTGTAATTTTCATCGATAACTTGCAAAATTCGCTGTAAAATTAATTTCTTGAAGGATCCTTGTGGAAATATCACCAATTATTAATTAAAGTATCCTCTTTTTAATGCAAAAAGCCGTTTTAAAAAATCACTTTTAGTTCTTGAAAAATAAATTTTTGAAATATGTTTCGAATTTTGCAATTTTCGCCGATTAAGTTTTAAAAATTCGTATAAAATCGATTTCTTGGAATATGACTATAAAAATTTCCCAAAGTGTTAATAAAAGTGTCCTCTTCCCAATGAACTAACCCGTTTTGAAAAATATCTTTTAGTTTTTGAGAAAACAATTTTTGAAGTTTTGATAAAATTTTCGATTTTGTAATTTTCGCCGATTAAGTTTTAAAAATTCATATAAAATCCATTTCTTGGAATATGAGTTTGAAAACTTCCCAAAGTGTTAATAAAAGTGTCCTCTTTCCAATGAACCAACCCGTTTTGAAAAATAACTTTTAGTTTTTGAGAAAACAATATTTGAAGTTTTGATAAAATTTTCGATGTTGCAATTTTCATCGATAATTTTCAAAATTCGCTATAAAATTAATTTCTTGAAGGATTCTTGTGGAAATATCACTAATTATTAATTAAAGTATCCTCTTTTTAATACAAAAAGCCGTTTTGAAAAATCACTTTTAGTTCTTGAGAAATAAATTTTTGAAATAATCTACAATTTTTTCGAATTTTGCAATTTTCGCCGATTAAGTTTTAAAAATTCGTATAAAATCGATTTCTTGGAATATGGCTATAAAAATTTTCCAGTGTTAATAAAAGTGTCCTCTTCCCAACGAACAAATTTAAATTTTAGATATTGCATATATTTAGATTTATAACTGATGAGATTAAACTGAAAATGTGGGAATTCCCTTTACGCATCATCAAACAACAAGAATCCTCACCATGTTAAAAACAGGTCGGCAAAACGTTTTTTTTTCTTTTCCTCACCGAAATCTTGACCTCACCTTGAAACAGTGAGAACAAATTTCGCCATCCAACATGTGAACACTAATTCTGAATGAAATCGTTTTAACGACATTGAGTTTTTTTTATTAAAAAAACCGTAATAAACATTATTATAAGGAATTAAAGCTACATAATAAATATATTTAATTGATATGATATTAAAATGTTACGAATTCTTGGTATTTAAATCCTGAAAGAATGTTTATCACGACAATCATAGAAATAAAAATAAGAAATATGTAAAAACCAGTTATGGTCTCCCACCATTTCAAACGATTTTTCTTTTTCCACCACGTCGAGAGATGGCGAATAAAATCGTTCCATTCCAACTCGTTTCTTTCATCGAACCTCCTGGGTCTAGGAACAAAGGACACAATTCTTTCTATAAAGAAAACCACACCGACACACTTCATTTCAGTTCAACCACAACCATCGAGAACCTAAAATAAATGGATTAATACAAATAAGAAATCAAAAAAATAACCAATCTCATCACCTTTATTTGGATTAAAATTAAGAAGTGAGTATTTATTTTTACTTTATAATAAATAATAAGATTAAAAACGGCAACGTCCGATTTGAAAGAAAAGAAGACCTTGACAATGTCTTCGGTTGAGGTGAAATTACCGTTTTAAAAGAGTTAATTTGCGATTCGCATCGCGCAAGAACTTGACATTGAAATTAAAGCGCGCTCTTGCGGTGCGTGAGTTTCAGTGAAAGTGAATTTATTTCAACCTTCAAATCAAACATACCTTAATTTTAAATATATCACTTATTAATATTAATTTTTTTTAAATAGATATGAAATCGTCGTTTAAAAAACTCTCATTCCTCTACGAACCCTACGTCTTAGGGGTGGTTTGCGTGGGTTATATCCTAGGAGAGCTCGGCCATTATCTCATCGGAGTCACCTCGAAAGCCATAGCCTTGGACCTTCACTACGGCGACATTTCCTGTCAATTAAACTCTTCAGCTTACATTCAAACCGGGATCAAAAAAGATTGTAGAAGTGCAAACTCCTCGGATTTGTGTCAAGAATTTAACGTAAACGGAACCGGATATTGCGAATGGACCTATAATGGGTTAGGAATTGATTATCAAATATTAGCTGGCCCGAGTTTTATCGCTGTTTTCACCGTCGTTGGAGTTATCATGGGGTTTGCTGCTGATAGATATAACAGGGTGAAAATGCTGGCTGTTTGCACGGTTGTTTTTGCAATCGCAATCATTTTATGTGGATCAGTTAAAGAGTATTGGCAATTAGTTCTATTGAGGATGATCATGGCGGCGGGGTGAGTTAAAAAAAATCGAGTTAACCGTGACGAAAATAAAAATAATTAGATATAAAAATCTCGTTTACCTCCCGAAGTAGGCCGTGCAATGATGAAAATGCGTTTTTCTCATGCAAATCGGCCACTTAATATTCATTAGTAACGATTATTTTTATTTCAAACCATTTTGACGTAATAAGCAGAAAAATTGTCATTGAAAATGAAGGTAAGGTAACACAAAAAGTGAGGTTATCTCGATAATTATTGGATGAATCAAAAAATGTTTCGAATAATATTTGTTTGGAATTGAATCAGCTACAATTTTTGTTTGAAACATTTTTTTAAATTTTTACTAGATGGCGCGATACACTAACATAAAAACTTTCTCATTTCCCACTGAACAGTACGGTAAATCATTTCAAAACTAATTAGGTGAAGGATTCTTGTGGAAAT